GATATAAGATAACCCGAACACGACCCAACATAATTCGAGTCACACTCTTTTGGATTTGGTGATGGTTTATGAAAGGTGAAACTTGATGGGTCAATTTGATATCCAACGCAGGCCAACCCAAAAAATTCAATATTTAGCAAAGTTTGGATAAAAAATTATCAACCTAATTTGAATTCAAACAATACTCAATTTATGTCTCTACTTTTTAGGATTCAATCCAAATTGAAATCAATTTTACGCCCTAGTTGCATAACTTGAGATTCAAACTTTAATTAAATTGGATTTCAACTTTAATTAAATTGGATTTCAACTCGAATTTTTATATATATTATCTACCTCAAAATCAAACCTCAATTGAAGTCGATTTTTATTCAAATTTCATCCTACTTGCATATCATCCAATTTCAAAATTTAACCATGAATGACATTGAAATTTTTTGAATTAAGCTCTGTTTGATAGTTTTAAATTTTTTAATTTAACTCGAGTTGACTTCAACTTGCCTTACACCACTATACTAGTTAGGTTGTGGCATGAGTATTGATATTTAAATTAAATAAATTTATAGTTTTACTACTTGGATGTATTAAGGGTGTTTCACAATTTTCTTAACAAGCTTAATTAAGGTATAGTTTAGTCTAGAAATAACAAGAGCGTTATATTTTTTATTTTTGCAAGTTAGGAGGTGATGTGAGAAATGACATATCGATATGGTATAATTTGAAAATTTTTAAACGATATGGTATCAAGTTAGGAGTCACTTGACAACACTTATGTAGTGACATAAACTAAATTATTTTTAGTGACATAATTAATTTAGTTACTAAAAATATGAAAGTTTTAGTGGTGACTTGACAATTAGCACTAAAAATATAAAAGTTTTAATAACAACACCAATGTTGTCACTAAAATTATGAAAATTCTAATAATGACATCAAAGTCACCACTAAAGCATTAGTGTTTTAGTGACGATATCATATTTATCACCAAAGCTATTATTGTTTTAGTGACAACATCAAAATCACCACCAAAACCTTAAAACTTTTAGAGACGACTAATCTCATTACTAAAAGTATTTGTTTATCATTTTTAATTACGACAATAAAATTTATCACTATTTATCCAATTTCTCACATTTTCAGTGACGAAATTACGATAACGAACAATTATTCATTACTAAAAGTTAACTTTTTGTGATAAATAGTATTGTCGTCACTCATCTTGGACCATTAGTGACAAATTCACATGTCATCGTTAAAAGAATTTAATTAATGACGTAAATAACTTGGTCACTAAAAAAATTGTCCCATAAAGCCTATAATTGTTTTAGCGTAGTTGAAAAGTTAAAAGTCTAGCTCCGCCGAATTGTCTCTTCTACCTATATGAGGAACCTCTTTGGTACTTATGTGAAGTGCAGAAAAATAAAAAGAAATAAAGTAATATCATTCTCTAAAATTTTCTCTCATTCAATTTTTTTGTGTTATTTAGTTTATGTTCAGTTAATTGAGTAATTTCACAAAATTTATGCTAATTTAATAATATTCTTGGGTTATTTATAAGTATAGTCCAATAAGATGACTTAATATCAATCTGATGCTATAGTATCACGTAATATCACATACGCGGTGCAAATGAATCCCACATGATATGTGATATAAAACTCATTCTGATTGGTATTAAAATCGAAAATAGTCAAAGTACTCCTAGCCTAACTTTTAATGGGATTTGGATGCAACCGTCTTTTTTAAACTTATGCAATATATGAATGAGTAGGATAAATTGAAAAATAATTTGCTCATATAGATTAAATTGAAATAAATAATCCAATCTAACAAGAGTATTAAATGACTACCCACGAAGAAATTTTTGGTTGCACTTTAAGCTTTGGCCAAGAGAAGAGTGATGAAGTATGGTGTAGCCGTGGGCAAGTGTTAGTACCAATAGCCACAAAAGTAACATCACCTACGTTTCAATCACTATACGTGATCATGTTGCACCACCTTTCTCGAGCCTTTTTCTCACTCACTATCGTGATAGTAATGGACGATTTGCCTTTTAGCTACAACGGTCCACATAATTTCAACATGCTCTCATTTTTTCTTTATTTACTACAATCATAATATTATTAATAATAATGAATTAAAATAAAACTAAAATTTAGGAGTAAGGAATAAAAGAATGAAATAGGAAATTTAGGAGTAATTTGAAATTGTGTTTTAAAGGTATGACTCAATTGTCTCTAGACGTATTATAAATAATTAAAGCAAAATGAATAAAAATGCGAGATTTCTAATTTTTTCTTACAGGCAAGTGAAAAGCTTTGAAAGGAAAGAAAGAGAGAGAGAGATACTTAAATTTAAATAATGACTGAGTTTGCATCGAATTAAAATATTTTAAACTTAATCTAATTCCGAAATTAAAAATTGCTGCTCCAATAAATAAAATATTTAAAATTTAGGGAATGATGCTCCATCCAAGTTGCAATTCCTGCTCCTCATGGAGTATCAAACAAAAGTAAATCAACCTCTATGAAATGAGTGCCATTAAAATCAAAATTTTGTGGATGACTTTCGATACTCCAAAAAATATGAGGATCATATTATAATTGATTTTGAATAGTGAATTTTAATTAATTAATTTATAGAAATTCATTATAAAATTAAAAATAATTAAAAAGTACACTAGTCAAAATTTTATTAAATATAAAATAAAAATAATTATTTTTTTAATATAATAACCAAATCCAAATTTCGTCCGGATGTATTTGTGAGGCTAAAAATCGAAAGTTGTACGTCCCAAACAAATGGTCAGGATATTGCAGGATTGTTAGCCTCTTAAATCGTGTTCGATCATAATCCTTAAGCGTGGTTCACTAGTTTAATTTGGTCTATGATAACTCGTATGTCTTAAGTTTAATTTCTTTTCACACCTTTTAAGGATTAGTCACTCTTGTCCTATTAGGGATAATTTCTAACTCAGATCAATTCACGATAGATAATCGTTGAACTCGAAAAATAGTCGGTGTAAGACAGAACTATTGTGTGATTGTGGGAACTTCCCATGTGAATGTCACCGGCGGATGGATTAGACTGGTCCGAGGTCTAATGCATTTTTTATAAACTTAATGTTCATTTTCAATTTTATTTTTTTTTCAATTGTAATTTTTTAATCCATTTTTATTTTTTGATTAATTTGAGCCAAAATTAATGTGAGACTCGCTCATAATTTAGAGTCGTTCTATGTTTAAATTTGTTATCATCAACGAGAAAGTTAATCTTGTATGAAGTGAATGAAAAAATTTTACTATAAAGTGTACTATGTTCGACTAAAAAAAAGAGTTTGGAACACTTTAGTATGAACTTGAATCTCACAATAGTTTTTCAAGAAAATCACAGCGGAGTGTTTATCAAAGAATACAAAACACAATTTTTAGTTCATCTGACACATAGACGAGTACTGATTATTTTGTGTGAGTTTTGATCATAATATCTTCATAGACAAACGCTCTACTGATTTTATTATGATTTCTTAAAAATTGAAAAGGAGTCATTTGATTAAGATTTGTTGATGTGGATAGATGCTTAATTGTTCAACTTGAATTGGAAGATCTTTCAATTATATTGTAATCAAAGATGAACCAAATCCGAAAATGAAAAAAAAAAAAATGGTATATATTTTGTTGAGCAGTAACCACAAAACTCTTACCCACTCCTTGCAAGAATGTTCTCCGTCAGGTGTATTTGTGTCCTGAATTCTATTGATGAGGACAAATTTTCCGATGAGTGTTGTACTCACAAAAATGGTAAACGTTACGGTATTGTTGGTGGTATTGTATTAAAAATTATAATTTTTTCAGGTTATATTATAATTTTTTTTGAGGTATAAGTTAACGGGTTCAGTTCAAATCAGACCCAGATTAGAGATGCAAACCAAATTTAAATACACAGGTCGATCCCACCACAAGATCAAAGAAGCTCAATCGGGTCATCGTTGTCATCTTGGGAGATTCAGTCCATAACTAATACACGAGGAAATTTCCATGTAACACAGTCATCGGGGAAACATCGTCAGTCTCGTGAGATCACTTTGTCCGATACGAGATAAAACGAGCTTTAAACAATCACTCAGATATCACTTCACCTATTACGAGGATAAGACGAACTTCACAAAATCAGTTATGAGGATGACGCCTCAAATCAAGGCTCCATCGGAGCCCTTATTTATCTACAAATTGTAAGCTCCGCCTACACATGGGGGCATCTCGCAAGACTCATATCTAAGCACCTACACTTCTTGAGTAATAATACACTCGGGGCACTATAAATTTTTATAGTAGAGTAGGTATCAAACCACTTTATTTGTTTTTACTTGTGTTGAGTATCCTTCTTAATTACTGTATTAAATATTTGATATGTTACATAAACATATTTTGTGCATTATCATCAATTATGATTTTAAAAGGCATGATCAATCATAAAAAATTGAGACCGATATCAAGATTCTTATGATCGATCATGAGTGTCTATAATCGATCATACCCTTTCCTTAAACAGTTATGATTTCTCCTCTCAAAGTTAATTGACGGTACGGTATCAAATTGATTTTTTTTCGGTACCGTAGAATTTCCCCACAAAAATTAACAGATGTGCAGACTTTTATTAGTTTGCAAAAAAATGTATATCATCCAAAATTTTTCTATTTAAAAAATTTTAATTCTTACTTTTATTTGTGGAAATCTTTAATGGAGTTAGACACTGTGTGGAATGATTTATTGAATTCAAAAGTACTTCTTGAATAATTATTTTTTAAAAACACTTTATTAAAAAATATTTTCTTCCATAAGCATCGTTTGGATGCTCATTAAAAAAAGTGCTTAAATAAAAATGATTTTACAAAAATTGTGTTTGGATGGTCAATTAAAAAAGTATTTATTTGTATCACAATTACAAATATACCCTTCAATTAAAAAATTAAATTACACTTACATAGGAAACGTATGTACCTTATCTCTCGATGCAATCTAATTACATAAAATAAGGAAAGAAAAGCAAAAGGCGAACCAATCAGACTGCTGAGCTACTCTAGCTATGTGAATCCAACTGAAACAGAAAAGCGGTTCCAGCTGAAGCAAAAAGGAGCCCATCTGAAGCAGCTGAGGCAGTTGAAGGCAGACAGCCGAGAGTCCAAACAGCAGCAATCAATTTGAGTTTGCTAGTGGGAGGACATAACCAGCTGACCCACTTAATTCGAATAACTGCTGTAATTTAAGAATGAACGTTAAGAGTCTGCATCATTAATTTCCCCTGCAAGATTGGCCATTCCTTTAATTCGAACAAGCTCCCATGTTGTTCTAACTGAAAATTTTCCCATAGAATTTAGCTGCCAAATCAGTCTATCATTCTGCGAAGCTAATGAAATACCATAAACTTGAACTTCTTCCAACAAAAAATCTGCAGTGCAGCCATTTCCTACCAAAAGCTTTGTATTTGCAACCACAACTTCAAACCAAGGGATTAATATTCTGAAACATTTAGGATGCACATTCCCAATGTTCCTGAGCAAATGCTGTCCCTTAAAATACTTGGCTGAAAAATGAGTAACAGAGACTGCCTGATTCGCCAAACTATCAGCAACCATATTGGCTTCTCTATACACATGCCTCGACTCAAACTCAACCATCCCCAAAAGATCCTTAATCTGTCTCAAAAGATTCATCGAAGCCCATGAACATCTACACTTCCCCTTCATAGAATTGGGAGCTCATTTTATCAAACACCTTACATGCATATTGATTCATAGATAATATCTTAGCTTGTTAAAGTTCAAATTACAAAGAACACAATCAAGAAAACTCATGCGTATAAAACAAATCAAGTCACTGATAGAAAAAATCTAAATCAACAATCAAATACAACAAACAGATCCCATATTTCAGACAACATAATATCAGAAATGGACCACAAAAATCCAATCAAACAACCACATTGCTCAACAAGCCCATCATACAATCCATAAACCAAAAAAATTAAAAGCCCCAAAAACCAAAACCCAATCATAAAACATTCCATGAAATTACATAACAACGATATATATGCAAAGCATAAGTACACAAATATATGAATATTATGTAATTACCGCAAATGGGTTCACTTTTTCGTCGAAAGGATTGGGATCGTAACGGCTAGCCATGGAATACAAAACAGGTAGTTAACAATCTTCCGAGACACCCCCAAAAGAACGATTCGAAAATTACAGATCTGAAAATGTAGCAAATGGATTTGAATGTAGTATTGAAAAATGTAAGGAATTTGTGAAACAAAAAGAAAATCTGAAACCAAATATCATATTTCATTAACGATCGGTGAGAGAAAGGAAAACTCTAGCATCGTCGATGGAACTCTCCGGTGTCGTCGAGATGATAGAAGAGAGTGTGGTCGGAGGTAGTCGGCAGTCGATGATGGCTACATGTCAACACAATACGAGAGCAGCGGCAAAGATTCAGAGAGATCGACAGAATCGGGAGTGGCAGAGAGTGAGTGATATCGCGGGCAGAGAGGAGGTAAGTGTTTTAATTAAAAAACGTTTTTGAAAAGTACAAGTTAATTTTTTTTACTTCTCTTTAATAGTTTATTTAAGCACTAAAATTACTTTTATTTATTAAAAAGTATTTTTAAAAAATTTGATCCAATCACTACTTTTTCTTTTTTTTTTAAGTATTTATGATAAATCAAAATATCAAAAAAGCATTTGTTTTTAAAGTTATCTCAAGCATATTGTAAAATTAGATTCATTATATATAAGTGATTTTCCCACCAATATATAAAGGAAACAGAGTGCATGACAAACATAATTAACAACTGCATTTTTAGGGAAAAAAATTATCGCTTCAATAAAGTATGGAACTCTTACCTTTGAAAATGCTCGAGTTTCTAGCAAGAGATTCACGAATCTTAGCTACTCAAATTAACTCAAAGTAAGTAGTCATATTCTTTACATATTAACATAAACACGATAAAATATGAATTTAAAAATGATAAAATTAATTGACAAAAATTTAAATAAGCAGATTAATTATATCTAAATAAAATATATAAATTATTTTGATTTTTTATACTTTGTTCTCTAAAATATTTTAAATTTTTACTTTCTAATTTTAAAGATTAAAAATACCCTCGCTGTATCAAAAGTATTACAATTTTTTTATATTAAATTCATTTTTTTTAATCAAAAACCAATCCACTTATGAAAAAACTAACGAAAAACTAAAGAAGAGTCGTATTATATTTTTTTTCATATTAAGGGTATAATGTAAAAAATATATTTGAGAGTACAAATAAATTTTAAAATCTTTTAGGGCAAAAAAATACAATTCGCTCAATTTTTTGAATAACGCTAGTCGCCCCAACCAATTCACACTCCCACAGCCCGTAACACCGATACAATGGAACCCGCGAAAGACCCGGAGCTGAACACAACGGCCGCCGCTATAGACGTTAGCGAAGCCGGAGACCACCGTAGCGTGGTGGTGGAGCTACCGCTCGGTGACTCTGCGGCCACATTTAACCTCGAAAAGGCCATCTGCAGTCACGGATTGTTCATGATGGCCCCAAATCACTGGGACCCTCTCACCAAAACCCTTCGACGCCCTTTACGCCTCGATCCCGAAGACGATCAGGATGTCTCTGTTTCTTCTTCATTCCTTGTCCAAATTTCTCACCCTCTGACTTTCCTCACTCACTCCGTCTCCGTGTATTCGACACTGATTTTCTCTCTCCTCGGCGACAACAAGCATTGCTGGTACTGTCTTGAGCTTTTTTTCTACAGAAATCGGTTTTTTGTTGTGAATGGTTGATTGATTTGAGTTCATTGTAGGGTCAAGTGAGGAGAATGCTGCGATTGTCGAAAGCGGAAGAGATGAATTTGAGGGAGTTTTGGGTGGTTCATGAGGAATCAAAGGCCAGGGGTTTTGGGAGAGTCTTTAGATCACCGACGTTGTTCGAGGACATGTTCAAATGTATTCTTCTCTGCAATTGGCAGTGAGTCTACTTTGCCTCTCTGTCTCCCACTCTCATAGTCTTTCATTCATCCTGCCCTTAAATTTATCTGCTATGTGCATGAAATATTATTCTTGGATTGCTTTGGTTTGTGAGTTTCTTAACAATCTCGTCATTTTGTGAAATGAGAAAAGGAAAATTAAGCTTTAAGATATATTTCTTTGAAGTAATTTGTGTTACATTGAATAACTGCCAAATGATTGAAGATCAGCGATGGCCATTAGGTCAACCGCACTCCGCCCTTGGACTATTAGGTCACGAGTTCGATACTCACCACTCCCTCCCCTGTAAAATTTTTAAAGAATAATAATAATAATTGCCAAATGATATGTACAGGATTTTGGCCAAGAGGTAGAACTATCAACTTAATTGTGTAAAACATGAGACACAGAGTACGTAGTTGGCAAGTAGTTTAGAATGTGTTATAATGACCAGGGGTGGAACCATATTTTGTCCCTATCGGGAAACCATTGGATTGAAGAGACGAATCAAACAAAAATCATCAGAACTCGTTGCGTTTTGTGAACAAAATGAATAGCAAGTAGGCCTTCAATGATCAGATTTGGGTCAAATTTTGTGTGATTCAAATTTAATCTGAAAACCCCAAATCCATAATGGATTCAAAAACTCATTTTTGAATTCAATTTGATTAATGAATTTTATTTTTAAACTGCATATCCGAATAAGTTAAATATTAAAAATCCAACTGACTCTATAAGCATGCAAAAATTGAATTTTAATAAATTATATCTCAATTTTAATTCAGTTTCCACTTTCTGAATCTCATCATATACACGTACATATCAATCGTACTCAATCATAGATCGCATTTTGGTATATCCAAATCTAAATTTGCGAAAATCGTGACCAATTAAAGCGTAGATAGTGGTCAAAAATATTATGTTGTT